AGTTTATGAACAAAAATGAAAAAGGTTTCAAAACTAAAATTTATTTTGATGATATACCTCAGGGTAATTAAAAAGTTTGCGTTCGCAGTAGAGAAAATTACTTAATTTTTTCATTATAACTTTCGTTTAAACTTTACACACTTTTCCCAGCACATCTTGTATTGTATTTATTCCAACTCTGAATGACGTTTTGTGAAAGACCTTCCAAATATCATTTACGTTTGTTATAAGTTTTCTAAATTAAAAAAAAAAATAAATAAATAAATAAATAAAAAAAAACGCTAACAGTGTAGGTTAACGAATAAATAAAACTAAGAAATTTCAGATTTAATATATCAAATGATGTTGCCACGTTTGACAACCCTACACATATTACATATCACTTATCACACATATAATTCAATGATCATAACTCGAACGAGAAGGATATTCAGTCAAGAAAAAGGAGATCATTTTCATTCAACCGATGATTCATTCAATTCGTAGGATGGCATATAGATGTCGTTATTGACGAATCCGCAACAACAAACGAAATGCTTCAAAATTCCAAGATTTTCCGTTCACTAGCTTAGCCATGAAATTGACATACTTCCGTCGTTACAAACGTACGGAGCGATGTGTGATATATTATAAAAAAAAACAAAAGACCGATAAAGTCTAGTGTATTCGATCAAAATAGACATGAAGATGGATTGAAAAGTTTTTTTTCCTCGATTAAAATGCCACCACTGTACTTATAAAGTCCTATCCTATCCTATTCCTATCTTTTTATGTGACTAAAAGACTTCATTACATTGTAGCTACGATGTTGCACACTTTGAGGGTAATTTCTAATGCAAATAAAATTGGTCCGATAACATTGCTTGATTACACGTACCTGAAGTGTTCAATTTTTTTTTGAAATTTGGGCGTTCAGATAACTTAAATATTGATATTTGAATGATGTAAGTCACACTTGTTTACAAGCTCTCGCCTAATCTAAATTAAACTTTAAAGATATGGATGCCAATAAGCAGCATTTCGTCATTGCATGTCATTCTGTTTTAATTTGTAGAAAAATGTACATGAAACTATAGAAATGATAAAGTTAGCGTATGGTGAAAATTAAGTAAGTGAAAGAATAGTCAAAAAAGTGATTTGCAAGATTTCGTGCGAAACATCGTACTGCACGTTCTGAAGGGAAAGGTGTTGGATGAAGAAATCCATAGTTTAGTAAACGTATATCCAACACAAATTCGAAAAGAGTTTACTATACATTTGGAAGTAACTCGAAAAGCGATTTCAGTTCGACCGCAAACAATGGGAAGAATACATAGGTATATATATATATATTAAAATTGAATTTTCTCCAAACGCGTAACACATCTAATACATTATCAATCACATCAGTTAAAGAAGTAACAGCATCTCCACTTTTAGAATGAAGACTATTATCGTAAATATTTGCGGCTACGGTGAAACTCATCTGCTCGCTTAAAAACCACTATCAATTTTCCTTAACTCATAACCTGTCTCGTTATGAATTTTTATTGTCTTTACATAATTGTTGATAAATTCAGGTTCGTTTCTTTTAATTATAAGAAACTGTAAACGACATGATATAGATAGAATTATAGGCAAATGTTTAAAAATTTTTACTTAAACAATAATTATAGTGATATTTTTATTGTAAGCTACTTAAGTTATTTGTCCTCGAAGCAGATTTCCATTGAAACTGTAGATGTATTCCACTAAGGGTAAAACTGCATAAGGTTGCAAATTATTTAATATTTCTATTGTCCTTTATATAGAACCACCTACCTTTACGAACTTTTTAGTTTTGTTATCGATTACATAGACTTTATACATAAATTTTGAATAAATCTATATATAAATACATGCTTGTATAAAACATTCGTACATGTTCACAGAACATGGAAGTCACGCAAGCCTATTTGCCAAATCTATAAATTACTTATTTCAAATACGTTACCTTTAAAAGGCTTTTTTTTGTTCCTTTTTGATACAGAGAAACTGAACATAATCTAACGATTCATCATCACGTAAGGTATTATTATAATACATAAGTAGATGAGGGCAGATGAGAAACAATAGCAATCTTTGACACCCATTATTAATAAACAGTAAATAATATCACTCTTTCTCTTTCTCTCTCTTTCCCTCTCTCTCTCTCTCTCTCTTTCTCTCTTTCTCTCTCTTTCTCTCCATCTCTCTCTTTCCCTCTCTTTCTCTCTATCTCTCTCTTTTCCTCTCTTTCTCTCTATCTCTCTCTCTCTCTCTCTCTCTCTCGTTCTCTCTCTCTTTCTCTCTCTCTTTCTCTCTCTCTTTCTCTCTCTCTCTCTCTCTCTCTCTCTCTCTCTCTCTCTCTCTCTCTATCTCTCTCTATCTCTCTCTCTTTTTCTCTCTTTGTCCCTTTCTGAAAAGCCGTACGCATATTGCGTTTAACGAGGATTTATCTTTATAAAAAGACACTAAATTAGGCAGACGAGTAAGTTATCAATTTAGAGCAAAGTACGGTAAGTAACTTTGATCAGTGTAATGAATATTTTCCACCACTACACACGAAATAGAGATATATTGGTGTAATGTCATGCCGTAAATATGTATCAACGGCATTATAACAGGTGCATTCAGAGAAGAAGGTGACTTTTTAAATTTCGTGGCCTACGTACATGCTACCATCGAATATTTTTTCTTTTTGTTTTTGCAGTGTTAGTACATATGTCCCCAGCATATGTTGACATTATCAGCCATTTTGTATTTTTAGCTTGTTTTTGACAGATACATGGTTCGGGGCACTTGACGAATTTTTGGTATAAAAAAAAAAAATGGATTAAACAAACGGTATGAAATGTTGTGTGAGAGATAAAATTAACTGCGCGAACTTACTTAAAATATTGACTGTGACATTTGGCGAATCTGCTTTAAGCAAAAAACAAATGTTTTTAAGTGGTCTAAGTTTTCCACACAAGAGATCTTAATACCGATGCCCGCCCTGAACGTCCCAGCACATCAACAACCGGTGAAGGCGGTAAAACAGCGAAGAAAATTGTTATCATCGAATCATCGAATCACTATTGGAAAAATTGCTGAGAAGGCGATTATATCGGTTGACTCAACCCATGCATGATGCTTTGTGTGATAACGAAGCTTGTTCTGAAATTATTAAACTTTAGCAAAAAGGGGCGTCACGTGAGCATTGCTCAGACGTTTTTAAATTATGTCAACGGCGATGCAGACCTGCTCGAAAGGGTCATAATTGGTGACGAAACATGGGTGTATGGTTGTGACCGTTGTGACGAAATAAACGTCCGATCGGATCAGTGCAAAGCACCCCAAGCTCGACCAAATGTGAAGGTTTTGCTCACTCGGCCCTTCGATTACAATGAGACGGGGCATCGTGTGTTCTTTGCTAGATCTTCATATGGCCTCCAAAGAGTATCACCAAGATAGAGCGCCAGCACGCGCGTCACTACTTGTCGTAATTGATTTGGCAAAGAAACAACACCAGTTCACCGGACGTGGCCTCCTGCGAATGTTTGTTGTGTCATACCAAAAGTGTGCCAGAAGTGCTTCGGGCATTTGTTTTTCAAAAAAAACCAAAAAGCCACCTTATCCTTGAACGCAACCTCGCATTCCTAAAAAGTAAGGCCGCTGCAACCAACAGCCTGAGGTCGACTCACCTTTTATTATACCGATCCAATTCCAAATCATTTTCTGAACAAAGTTCACCTGGCCTACACAAGGCCTGCATTGTTCGAGTTTAAGAACACGAATGTTGAAAGTTGCGGGGTGTTCCTATAAAACAACGCTGTACCTATAAACATTATTTTTCGCCGGAATATCTACAGAAAATAATTCATAACGCTTTAGATGAAGTAAGAAGAAGACAAACCGATTTCAATTGTAATTTCTTCAAAAAGTTAGAAACATCTTTGCGTGGTTAATAGACCGTAGTAGTAGTAGTAGTAGTAGTAAGTAAAAGTGTACATTTTAAGAGACGTAATATGTTTACTAAGTCGTCTTCAATGAAACAATCAAACAAACCTTCATATATCCTCCGTAGAGAGACATTTTTATAAAAATAAATGATTGTGTGTGCATTCGCTATAACTGTGTGAAAAGAAAAAGTAATTTTAGATTAATTTACAATCTACTTAATGGTTTTCGAATGGGATATAAATCGCATACAGTTACGAGCGTGTACACAGAAAACCAAAATGACATGAAACGATATATGTACAAAATCTAATGCAATATTTTAGCAATAAAACATTGGCGAATACGAAGAAAAAGAAAAACCGAACGACTCTAACATGAACAATCCAAAAACTAGAGGTAATTTTTTTTTCCTTCTTTTTTTTTTTCTTTTGTTTTTTTTTCTTTTGTTTTTTTTTTTTTTTTTTTTTCTTTAAATTCGAAATAAATAGATTTTTGTTAAGAAAAAAAAAAAACAGAGCAAAGAAAGTATTCCGGATAAACGAAAATCGATATATTAACAATAAAATAAGCTTTTCCTCTTCTTATTCTTCTTCTTCTTCTTCTTTCCTTCTACCATTTGTATCATTTACTTTGATATTCGAAAGCTTGATAAAGGATAGTCTAGGTTAGATTAGGTAGTTATCATTATGAATAGGAGAGAAGAGAGGGGAAAAAACATAGATAGAAATTTAGATAGGTACAATCAAGCAATAAGTCAATGACTGAAGCATATGAGCTTGGGCAACTTGTTATTTATTTATTATTATTATTATTTCTTTATCCCGATTTAGACATTCTACAATCGGAAATTAAACTTTAGATAACTGTTAACCATGACCATACTTGTGCAAATCAAACCTTATGAAACATCACATATTAATTCATTGTACATTTTTTTTTATTAAATTCTAATTATTTCCTTTATTTACACACAGTAACAATCACAAAATTCTTACATAAGTTTAAAAAAAAAAGAAAAGAAAAGATTATTCGCCCAGAAGAATAAGTGCTTTACTTACTATGGACTAAATATGAGTGATTGAGTGGATGGCTAAATTCAGTTCTTATCTTTTCCTCATTGTTGATACTCTGAAAAAATAAAAAAAAAAATTAAAAAATAGATCGAGTTTAGTAATCGACTTAATCTTAATGTAGAGCCTAGCGTGGTGTCCATTTTAATCGATATCTCCCATACAAAATTATGAGCACAAAGACACCGTAGGTAGAGCAGGGTATAGAATAGCCCAAGACATAACATCCGCCCGTGCGGTAAAAAAGTTTCATACATCCCCTCATAAGGCTTTCTACGCGTGTATTTCTCGAAACCTGCCACATTGTCCCATTCAGCTACGAACCAAGTCCTATATTAATATTACAAATTAATCCAGCGTAGAAAAGTTTGATTTCATTGACGGCAAAATTTTCAAATTTAAGTCCTCTCGCATGAACGATTGAGAGAATAATGCGCCCATTTCGATTCATTCATTCATTCTATTCAGAAAAGCAGTCATATAGGTTGCAATTGGAAATACGTTTTAAAAACTTTTCTAAAATTGCGCAGTTGTGTACTATGATCTTAACTATATTGTTGTGAGCCAATAAATTAATAAATTACATTCTCTTGTCCACGATCTGTAGAGTTGCATATTTTACATTCTTGCCTGTGCTTATCGATCGAAGCTAGGAACGCTCTGTGAAGATAACTCATCAATTTTATTAATAAGTCAAGTGAACGAGAAAAACAATAATGCCCGTCTCGCCGATATTCGTTTACGGACCAACATATGAAATTTTAAACGCTATACTTATCGCATCGAGCAATTAAAAAAAAGAAGAGAAAACAAAAAAAAAAAAAAAAATTCAAAGCCTAATATAACAACTTAAAAAAAGTACGTAAGAGAAGAAGAGATGCAAAAATTCAACACAATAAACGTTTCGTTATTATTATTGACGCAAGAAATGCCTTAAGGCATCTAACTGCAAAGCAAATGTACCTAAATCTCTGTTATATTTTAAAAGGATTATTAAAGGAGTAAACAAATGTGTTTAAATTAATACAACTTGTTGTTGGATTTTAGAGTGATTTTGCAGATCACATTTCATTCTCTAACTTTTAGATTAACATAAATATTCGTAGCCATTAACTAATTGAATTTTTAGGTACATAACATAACTTTCTAAATACCTAAAAAATTTTCATGTTTCATTATATGAGAAATGAATTTACAAAACAATACTTTGTACTACTATTAGCAATCAGTGTAATGGGAAAAGCGGACGAAATAAAGAAGAGTAAATTATAATACAGAACGCATCGGAATTAGGATGATAAGCAAGTCAGCATAAATATGTTTTCTAATGATTCACAAGGATACGGCCATAAATTGTTATAATCTGTATTCTATTTTTCTACGTCGACACTTGCTTGCGCCCATCCCCTTGTATACATGTATACCTTTTCTTTTTTTTTTTCACAAATATTCAATTTACTGAAAGTGTTAGCTTTCCTCCGCAAGCCATTATTTGAATTCATTCACACAGCAAACCCTAAATTTGTTTTGCTGTTGAAACTTTTACCAAAAAATTTCGTAGAGAAAGAGAAAACACAAAAAAAAAAAAAAAAAAAACAAAAAAAAATGAGGGTCAGCAAATTTAATGTTTCATTTTGCTGGAGAAATTAACCCTAGAGTTTGCAATGTTGACGACCGACCATACGGAATGAAAACACGAAAATGAAAATGGTTATGCATTCAACATTGAAAAAATTGTCTATATGTATATGCAGATTTAATGTTTTGGTAAATTCGTTTAGCGTTAGCAATAATACACAACAACATGATCATGGTTACCCTGGGTTAAACTATTACAAGGTTAACTTTACCAATGCCTGTGGTCAAGTGTTAATTGGATTTATTTGAATTGTTTCAAGCCATCAAGTTTCCGTTACGGTATAACCCTAATTTTGTCTAGTGCGTACGTGCAAGCACTTTTTGTTCACAGCCATCAGATCACGTAGCGTAATCGTTTTATCTAAATATCCGTTATCCATGGGGTGCCAGTGGTAAATATTTAAAAATGATAATGAAGCATTCTTCACAACCATTTCACAACTATTCCATAAGATAATATTTTTGAAAAACAAGTGAATACATATATATAGTGAGGAAGGGAAAAACTATTTAAATAAATATAAAGTGTCTTCAAAATTTCCGTAAAACAGAGTAATGGATTTTCGTACCTTTTTTTGTTTATAGAAAAATTTGCATTTAATTTCTTAAGCAATTTCTTAAACAATTTCGAAATGGTCATCATTAAGATAAATATGGTATTCATCCATAAAGTAATTATTAAGTAGAATATTCAATAAACGCTTGAATTGGTTTTACTTAATAAATCCGGCAAGATTCAACGATTCCATTTCTCAGCTTTTGCCAAATAGAAAGTGCCCGAAATAGACATACGTTTCTCTAACGAAAATCGTGAGAGAAGTGCTATATAATCAATAATTCTCTTACAAAGGGATCTTGACTCAAATTTTCTACCGTCACAAGCAAAAATTATGTCCGAACAGACCCGATTGATTCGATATGAGAGAAATCGAATGAGACCATGCAACAGAGGTATATTTCAGTGTACCATAGACTTGACCAATCTCAGAGATAGTCTTTTTGTGATACATATATATATATGTGTGTCACATTGCATTTGTATATATAACGAGTTGAATACGTAAACTGACAACATCTTCAGACTTTGATAATCAAACAGAAAATCTAGAGCAAGCGATGATGAATCAATATTTAATAAATTGCTTAATTATAAATGAGTTTCTTTCGAGCATAAGAGGGGAAGCGAGTCTAAATGAATTTGACTTTCGATTTAAACTTGCTTCGATTTGATTATCACCTATGCTATATAGTTCTTTAATAGAGACGTTTATTTAGAGCCAAGTGGAAATTAACTTAACCTTAGTAATATACAATTTTAGTAAAGTGAATGTGAAAAATCTGACACAGTAGACGAAAGAATCCGTTTACTGACGTCACTGACGTACTGAGAGATCCATATGCAAGTGCATGAAGATTTTGATACAATAGAAATATATCTGCTTTGGCAATCTCCTATTATATACTATAAGACGTGAAACGTTTGTTAGTGAGAATTAAGTAAATCAACATAACGCTTAATCATAGCTGATAAAGCAGATAAAGAAGACTAGGTTCCAGCGAAGGAACTTCAGCCAGATGGGGGATCGACCATAATGAACATTGAAATAACTAAAACGTAATGCAATAGTTTATTGAAAATAAAAGAGCATATTACTAGGACCTATAAACATTTGCATTAGGTATTATTCATAGAAGCTTGGGCATGCCGCGAATTTTAATCATTATGAGTGCAATCATCATATATCATTGAACTGGAATTAACTTGAAAATATTACTTTTATTTCCATTAAAGAGGTTTATAAATTTCTCTCAATTGTGAACAATCTAGAGTCAAAGCCATTGTCATAGCAAGGTACGGCTCTGCTGTTTATAGACAGTTGTGTCAGTTTTTTTTTTTTTTTTTTTTTTTTTTTTTACTTTTTTCTTCATAGTTTATTTTTTTTTTTTTTGTTGTTATTTATTTTAAACCATTATTTTAAGCCATTTAATCTTTGTCAGCCTGTTATGTACTTTGACATTTGCAAACAAAAAAAGTGGCGATAACAATACAATAGTTGTAGACCTACATGGAAGCAATACAACTACGACATTCATTTCGCGGCATTCTTTTTACTCATCTACCGTGCGCAAGAAAAAAAAAAGTGAGCAAGTAGAATTAACTGAATGTCACATAAGTGATGTTAGTGGTAAAAGTAAAATTGAAAAATTTGTAGAAACAATAATTGTATACAACAACGTAAGGGAAAAGAGAGTTGTTACGAAGTATTTTATACTCTACAATGTATTACATTTAGTAATGAAGACTATAACTGTAATGTATCTAACCCATCGTCGGATAAAGGCTTCTCATGAGCAATTCGGTACGTGAAACCATATCTCATCCGCATAATATTTATGTGACGGTTGTTGGGCCTCCTAAAAAAGGAAGTATTTATATCCTACCAATTCTCTTATATAACATTCGGAATTATAACCTACATCTACAAGGGTATATTAAGTTTGTGCGGATGCACATAATGCCCAAAAGGACTTGAGATCGACTCACCTTCTATTATACCGATCAATTCAGAATCACGTTCGAAGTTGTAATATTTCGAATTTTTGAAAAAAGTAAAGACGACAGATTCGAAATGATCCGTCTTTGGGACTTTCGACTCAATGGTACACCAGACAGATAACTTAAGCAAACCAGAATCGGTTTCGGTTCGTTGAACGTAAACGTTGAACGATTTAAAGCATATAATAGCTAATCTTTCGAAAGGTCCATCTAAATAACATCAATTTGCTTGCAATCATCAAAATCTTGGTATATATGACTAGTTAGTCCAAAAAAATTAATGGTTGTGGAACATTCATATTTCAACAGTTTTTTGAAAATTTTCTATGTAACAGTCAGGTTAGCTGTTCGTTGCAAATAGATGGAAATTGACATTTTTGAAACCATACATTAAATAGGTATGTACGTAATTTATAAAGATAGATGACAGAGTATATGTGTATGCACGAAAGAGTTCCTTGCTAGTCGAAATTTATTATTATTATTATTATTATCATTAATTTCGCCAGAGAAATAAATTCTAAGATTAAACTCTTAAAAGTACTAGCATCTAAGGCTATCTATCGGCTTTTATTAAAAACTCTACCGCACTTGAGATTCGAACCCACGACCATTGACTTGCTAGTCGAGATTCCTCGCCTTCGGCTACTCAAGCGGATAGTCGAAATTTAGCATCTCTTCTTTGCATAGAAACATGTTAGAGAAATGAACAAATAACTCGATTTCATAAGAGTAGTAACGCATAGTATGTGTAGTGTACGATATTCTAAAAGCCTTTTGTAAATAAATTAAAAAACATATAATCGTCAAGCGAATCGCTCTCCTTGTCGCGCATAAGTCAGGGGAAGGATATATGGCACTTG